GGCTACAATGCTTGATAAGAAATGTACTCATTATCTTGCCCATGTAATTGTAACCCCTCTGTACAGTATTTTCACAATAAAAAATAAAATAAAATTAAATTTAAAAAAGAAATATATGGTAAGAAATAATTGTCTTTAAAAAAAGGGGCCTGGAAAGCTGAGAATTTTGGAATAGAGATTGAATTTAAACCTCCTCAAGAGATGATCTATGGTTAGCAAGTCTCTATTTAGAGAACAAGAAAAGATTGCAGCTCATATATGAATATAATAGTGGCCAAGAAGAAATCAGCTCAAGAAATCATTGGAAGGCAATTAACGACTTGAGATATTTCAGTCGCACAGAAGAAATAGGCCTTTTCCACAATTAAAAAGGGAATTGAATACAACCTAGGTGGTTAGGAAGACTAATTTTCAGCCACGAATCATGACTTCCAGAGTCCTAGGGGACAGTTATGTCTGGTTACAATGGATTGGTAAGGACCATGTGATCATTTGGGGATAACTTTGTTGGTAGATCTCAGCAACATGGAAGAAATGGTGGAATGAAGAACCCAAGGGGCATATTGGACATTGATTACTAATCAGATGTTTTTAGAGTTGGAAAATATTACAGTCTGCTCCCTCTGCTATTGAACTAACTTCTGGGAGCTGGATCACAAACTCTTGATCACTGAATTTAAGAGTAGTCCTCTCCCTTTATCAGGTGGGGTGTTGGTGCCAGCCACAATGCTCTGCTGTGAAGAGGCCGAGTAAGCAATGACCTTGGAGTATGCCGTGCAACAAAACTCCACATGCAACGGAAGTACTGGCTAGACCAGCTATGTGAACAAGCGGTAGCAATAGCTACCATTTTTCTATTTTCAACAGTGCTTCTGTCTCTCCTAGGGAGCGACGATGTTTTAAATGAGTACAAAGTTCTTGAACTGTTTTCCTTTTGAGATTTTGTTCTTTTTCGGTAGGGACAGGTGGAGACCATTTGAGCAATAACAAGCTTGCAGGAGATTTTTTTCAGTTGTATCAATACTTCAACCTAAAAAAGGCAACTTACAGAGCAAAGCATCAATCGCTGCACTGCCCACATGCCTAAACATCTTTTCAGTGGAAGATCTTGCAAATAAATTCGAGTGAATGGTGAGCCTGAAAGTGCAGTTGTGTCGGATGGACGGTGCATGGACGGTGCTGCTTTCCACTCTATTCTGAAGGGACCGGACGGTGAGAAGCCTGGGGTTGTTCCAATGCCATGTGCAGTCTCCTTCAGCATTGGGAGTGGAGCCCCCAGGGCAGAGGTCCCCCTCGTCCTCCATGGGGGCAAACGGGCTCTCCCGTGCTGTATAGAGAGCCAGGAGACCTGACGGGAGGCAGAGTTTGCCGCACGCCTGACGTGTGTCTGTGGCTCCCTACAGTCACACAGTTCAGCCCCAGCACCATTTTCTCCTCCTTATTTCCACACGGAGTGTGATCTTATGGCTGTGGTTGTGGAGGCTTCTGATAGCTGTGGCTTCTGTGCTTTTAATTTTCTCATGGTGGTTTTACTTAGAAGCTCAGCCGTGGGCTGGAACAGACCTTACTTCTCTCGTGTCTGTTTCTGTCAGGCTACCAAAAGCTTGTAAGTCCTCGTTGTCATTAGGTTGTGCAAGGGCAGAAACTTGAGCGTGTTAGAAATCAGGGGCAGGGCCTGAAGAACAGCAGTCAGCGGGTGTCTGCTCAGGGCCCGATTCCGTCCTCTGAGCCATTATCACATACTCACAGAGTGTGCACCTCCACACATCAGGAGCTGAACTACAGTGCTGGGACCATTGTGTCTCAAGTAGGGA